TCATGGCGTCCATCCCCTCATTCCCTCATGCTCTCATCGCTCCATTCCCTCGCCCCACATTCCATCACCGCCTCGTCCTCTCATCCCCTCATGGTGTCCATCCCCTCATGCTCTCATTGCTCCATTCCCTCACCCCTCATTCCCTCACCACCTCGTCCTCTCATCCCATCATCCCCTCATCCCCTCATGGCGTCCATCCCCTCATCCCCTCATGTTCTCATCCCTTCATTCCCTCGCCCCTCATTCCCTCACCACCTTGTCCTCTCATCCCCTCATGGCGTCCATCCCCTCATGCTCTCATCGTTTCATTCCCTCATCACCTCGTCCTCTCATCCCCTCATCCCCTCATCCCCTCATCCCCTCATCCCCTCATGGCGTCCATCCCCTCACGCTCTCATTGCTTCCATTCCCTCACCACCTTGTCCTCTCATCCCCTCATCCCTTCATGGCGTCCATCCCCTCATCCCCTCTTGCTCTCATCCCTTCATTCCCTCACCCCTCATTCCTTCACTGCCTTGTCCTCGTGTCTCCTCCTCCCCTCATGGCATCCATCCCCTCCTCCCCTCATCCCCTCATGGCGTCCATCCCCTCATGCTCTCATCACTTCATTCCCTCACCCTTCATTCCGTCACTGCCTCGTCCTCTCATCCCCTCATCCCCTCATCCCTTCATCCCTTCATCCCTTCATCCCTTCATCCCTTCATCTCTTCATCCTCTCCTCCCCTCATCCTCTCATTTTCTCATCCCTTCATCCCCTCATCGCCTCATCCCTTCATCTCTTCATCTTCTCCCCTCATCCCCTCATCCCTCAGGTCCTCCCTGAGGAGCAGGCATTGTGTTTTGTTTTGTGCAATGTCCATTCTGTATCATGGGGGGCAGTTTGGGGCCCCACACCACACAAAAACACATTGAGGGGTTGGAGATTGAGAAAGAAACAGATCTGGGGAAGGGTCTGGAGCCCCAGGAGAGGCTGAGGGAGCTGGGCAGGGGCTCAGCCTGGAGCAAAGGAGTCTCAGAGGCCCTTGTGGCTCTGCACAGCTCCTGACAGGAGGGCACAGCCAGGAGGATTTGGGATCTGATACCAGGGAACAGGGACAGGAGGAGAGGGAACAGCCCCAGGCTGGGCCAGGGCAGGGTTATTTGAATATCAGAAAGAGTTTATTCACAGAAAGGGTTTTCCAGCCCTAGCACGGCTGCCCAGGGCATGGGTAGAGTCCCCATCCCTGGAAGGAATATAAAATCCCTGTGGCTGTGGCACCTGGGGACACGGGTCAGTAGTGGCCTTGGCAGTGCTGGGTTGGACTTGGTGATCTCAGAGGTCTCTGTCAACCTAAACAATTCCATGATCTTTGTCATGTGGCCACCTTGGCTATCCCAGGCATTCCATAATGGTCCTGCCCTGCATTTCCACCTCTGCTTCACAGAACAATAATAATCCCAGAATTGTCCCGGTTGGAAGGGATCCAGCAGAATCAAGGCCAACTCTTAATTGGCCCACAGAGGGATCAAACCCCCAAAGCTGGTGTTATCAGCACCAGGCTCTACCCAACAAACCTTATCTCACAGGAGCTGTTCATGGCCAAAGGGCAGGTGTCAAGGCGGGCACCCCAAACCTGGGGCTCTGGGAACAGCAAGGATTTCCCAGAAGCGGCATCCTGGAGCTCAGCTGCCAGAGGGCTGCCCAGAGAACTGAATCCCACATCACTTCCTTTGACACTGATTGCTCTGAAGGAGGAAGGTGATGCACTCAGGACGAGGATGTTGTTTTTCCTACCTGCTGAACAGGAGAAACCAAACAAACTCCTTTTTAGGCCTTTGTCCGGAACCACCGTTTCCCCTCGGCTATTTATACAGAGCCAGTCATCGTCATCCTCTGGCCTGCTGGGCCCCAGAGAGCTGTTCAGCCTCAAACCATCATCACTCATTCCTGGCGAGGTCGGCTGTGCACCCACCCGTCCCACTGATCCTTCACTGGCTCCAGAAGGGAAGGATGAGGATGAGGATGAGGATGAGGATGAGGATGAGGATGAGGATGAGGATGAGGATGTCCCCAGTGGGACACCACGGGCTTGCCCTACTCCAAGTGTGATTGGCATCACCTGGTGCCCACCACGAGCTCACCACCTTTATTTTACATAAAGCCCAGCATTTTATCCGGGCGTGAGGTTTTTCCTCCTGTTGATTCCTGTTGGCAAATTTTGATGGGAAGGAACTGCTGCATTCCAAGGTGGAGGTTAATAAAAACCCAGATGGTTTAAATATTCCTTTTTCATAAGCTTTGCTTTTTTGGAAAGGTCGGGCATTTTGGCAGTTCCTAATGAGGAATCTGAAATTGGACAGGGCCGGAAGGAAGCGAGGGTGTAACCTGTAGGACACACAGGCATCTTACAGTGTCCTTTGGAAAGCATTCCCAGATTTGATGGAGGTATAAAGTGTTTGCCTGGCCAGAGTAAAAGTCATTAAATTTTTAAGCCATCCCATGCCAAACATCCCAGTCCATGGTGGAATGTGCTTCCAGGTGCCGTGGAGCTTCCTGCACAGTTTCCACAGAGCTCTGCTGGGTTGCAGCCTTGCTGCCAGCTCATGATTTTATCATCTGTCTCATGATTTGTGACATTTTACTTAAACTTCTGCTCTGGGGATCCTGAGAATCTCAGCTTTCCTTTACTCCTTCTTCTCCTCTCTTCTCTTTTTTCCTCCTCCTCCTCCACCCCTCCTGGCCCGAGCAAGGAAAAAGAGGATGCTGTCCCACATA